AGCATATTATAATTAATGTCCTAAATATACCCAGAAAAATATCATGCAAATTGTGTATTGTTTGACCCAGTTGGTTGTGTTTGTACATATATAGCACAATTAATATACTTGTGTATTAATTGTGCAGATTATGTATTTTGCATATGTTGTATGATTATTGAAATTATGTATTGATTATATTTCTATAAATTGTGTATTGTTTTGTGCAAGTTGTATGTATTAATTGTATATGTTTTTGTATGTGTATTTGTGGAAATTGCATAGTTGTGGATTTAATGAATATGTGCTAGTTATGTATTGTTCATATTTTGGTAAGTTGTGTATTGATTATATTTTTGAGCTAGTTGTGTAAATGTCGCAATTGTATTTGTGTAAATCGTGTATTTATGCTAGTTGTGTATTTTCATATTTGGGGTAGTTATGTATTGCACGTATTTGTGCTAGATATGCATTTGTGCAAGTTGTGTGTAATAAATATGAAAGATGTGTAATATTGTATAAGTTGTGTATTAATTGCGCATGTTGTGTAATTGCATATGGACGAATTGTTTATTTATACCTTTGTGTATTGATTGTCATTGTGCAAGTTGAGTAATTATATAGCAAGTTTTCTTGTAATAATTATGCAAAGATGTAAAATAATTACACAAACTGTGTAATAATTGTCCATGTTTTGTAATAATTTTTGTGATAATAGTGCATTTATGCAAGTTGTGTTTTTAATATGTTGAAGTGGAACTGGTGCAACTGTATTTGTGTGTATAAATTGTGTATTTTGTGTAAGCTCTGTAATTTGATAAAATAGATCTTTATGGTGTAAGTGTATTTTGGCTTATGAGACAATGTGTGGGTATTTTGTGAAAATTATGTTTGTGAAATTGTGTAATTTTAGTGAAAGCGCATTTTTGATTGTCTAAATGCATAAGACTTTTGATATATTTGTGCAAAATACCGTACTTTGTGTAAAATGTCATACTCTGAGTGTACATGCAATATTGTGTAAATGGTATATTTTTGTTTGCAACTGACATATTTTGTATGAAAATCTCATATTTTTTTATGTGATGGTATATTTTGAGTGTAAATAATATATTTTGTGCATAAATGGCATATTTGGTGTGTAAATGCTGTATTTTCTGTGTGTATGGCATAAATTACATCTGATTAATGGGGAAATGGTGGCAAAAACTAGGCTATTCTCTATGAATGCATAGGTTTTGAAGTATGTGTAGGTATGCATGATTGTATTTGCGAGTGTTGGTTTAGAAACAAGTTAGCTGATTTGCGTAGCAAGACTAGGAATTTTTGAGGTGTAGAAATGATTAGCCTATGAATATAGTGGCTAACATCCAGCTGAGTTGCTAGATGACCGAATTGAGGTGCGACATTTGGATATCTATTTGATGGATGTGAGGACAGTTGACTAGCCTATGAACACAGCCACTAATCCGCTGTACTGCCAGATGTGTGGTAACTACTTGTGGATTATAGTAGAATATCTAGATATAGGGTTTTCATAATTGCTGTTGTGTATAAAACTAGAATAAGAGCTATTTATTAAAATTATTATTGTAAACTAATACTTTAAGTGGGATCCCTTGGTTGTTTTAAGCATAGGGTGGATATGAATGAGATTGGGTGGAAATATATAGGAGCTGCCTCGTATGGGCCAATAGGACCTCTGCAGTTACCTTTATTCTTATGTTCAGCTCACCTGCTATGCTGCCAGATGTACGATTCTGCTTAAATTGCAGTACGACATTTGGGCTTCTGTTATACTTTTGAACTTATCACTGAATAATGATTACAGTTGTGGATGACTAAAATGTATATTCTTAGTCCTCTGATTAGGTTAGGTGGGGATGGATAGTCTAGTCATTTTTGAATAATAACATCAAATACACATACCAGTAGGACGCCAAAGGCCGCATTGGTTGTCTGGTGACGTCATACATAGATGACCAGTAAGGTGAAGTAATACCTTCACACCTATATGCTAATGGCTAGCAATACATTATCCCTATACCTGAGGTCGCTTTTCACGATGTCACTAAACAACAACAATAACTGGTCTGTAGAATGTATTTGTTATATATATAATAAGATAGGATAGGTTAGGTTAGGAAGGTTTGATAGGGTTTATGAATAACAGAAAATATAAGCAATGAGCGAAAATACGAGCTATTGTAGCTGAATATAACTCTGATGAAGCACAGAGTATAGGTGAGGTATTAAGCCAGATTAAGAGTTCACACTTATGTGTGAACCTCCTGGGATCCGCATTTAGCGCGCCTCGCGCCGCAGAAGGCCTTATTTTAAAACATGAGAGGCTTGCTTTTACTGAATGAGTTTTTTATTTGTTATATGCCACAGCAAGGTGTGGGAGGTATGTTTTGAGCGAATGTGAGACGTGTATGTGGTTAAGGACAATATTGGTTTACTACTGAACACGCATTGAAATTACCAATGCCCAGGCCTCTGTTTTTTTTTCATATAAACGACTGATAGCAGTTTTTTCATTTTATTTTTTGCCCTATGCATAATAAACGATCCTTCAAGAAAGATTGTCAAAGCTCAAAATACATTCTCTAGAACGACGACGAAGAAGAAATAGGGGTGACATGATAGAGGTGTTAAAGAATGGACATGATAAAGGGGGATATTAATATCCTATTAAACGTATCAACATGAAACAGAACAGGAATGAATTGGATAAGTTTTACATTTAGGAAAAAACCTTGGTAAATACTACCCTCCAAACACACACCGAAACTACGACGTTGGTACAACGTTCGAACAAGTTTTAACACCACCTAACCAGTTATAACAACCAATATAGCAAGTTGTAACAACGTTCTAATACGTCATAAACACGTTAAGCCAAGATGTAACAACTTTATTACAAGTTGTAACAAGCGGAAAATAGAGACAGTTTCGGTTTGTGTTTCCAGGGTAGTTCTGTAACAGGGTTTGAACTCATTTCTTATGTAATATGTAATCTTAGCTATAAAATGATCTTAGACAATGGGAAACGGTACGGTAAAACCTTATTGAGAAAAAACGAGCTTATAATGATTAACGCAATTGCACATTAGGCTCGACAGAAGGCGGCATTTGAATCCCCCTTTGCTATAAACATTAAAAATGGGAATAAACACACTATAACAGAAAATGGACTTATTCAGGGAAGATGAAGAAAGGGTGACTGACTAGCTGATGACGTCATTGACCATTAGCAATGCCTGTGCAGGGTCATTGAGCGGCTACCTGGTGACGTCATTGACCATCAGCGATGTCTGTGCAAGGGACACTGTGGTAACGAAAAACATGTATGACTACAAGGGACCTTTTAATACCCTTGAGCGTAATTTCATGGACTATAAGGCAATCACCCGCTCGGGTGACGAAAAAAACAGGTATGACGGATCGTGTCCCCTTAATACTGTAACGAAAAACAGGTATGACGGACCGTGACCCTCGAAAAAGCAACGAAAAACAGGTATGACGGATCGTGTCCCCTTAATACTGTTACGAAAAACAGGTATGACGGATCGTGACCCCTTAATACTGTAACGAAAAACAGGTATGACGGATCGTGACCCTCGAAAAAAGCAACGAAAAACAGGTATGACGGATCGTGTCCCCTTAATACTGTTACGAAAAACAGGTATGACGGATCGTGACCCTCGAAACTGCAACGAAAAAATAGGTATGACGGATCGTGACCCCTTAATACTGTAACGAAAAACAGGTATGACGGATCGTGACCCTCGAAACAGGTATGACGGATCGTGCCCCCTCGAAACTGCAACGAAAAATAGGTATGACGGATCGTGACCCCTTAATACTGTAACGAAAAACAGGTATGACGGATCGTGACCCTCGAAACAGGCATGACGGATCGTGCCCCCTCGAAACTGCAACGAAAAATAGGTATGACGGATCGTGACCCCTTAATACTGTAACGAAAAACAGGTATGACGGATCGTGACCCTCGAAAAAAGCAAAACGGTCACGGTCCGTCATACTTCCCACTACTCCAGCCCAGTATATGAAATTGATCAATCAGGCACTAGGCACCCAGGCTTAAACCAATCAGGACAGTTCTCTCCCAGTGGAAAGAGGCCGTGACTGAGGCCTAGTGTTTTCGCGACGGTTGAATCCCCTCTGTTTTCCTGACCGCCAGCTCGAGAAAGTCCCTCTCACTTCGTTTCTCGATGCTGCCTCCCTGGAGTCAACTAATTTAATACATAACTTCTCCTTGCTGTAATTACCAAACGACTAAGCACGGCCCTTTTGATACCTATGGCCTTCTGAAGGCATAAGCTTTCTTACTAGATACCCAACAAGGTATACTTAAATCTTTAATTTACAAAACTCGACCTTGTGCACACACTCTGTGCACTCACTTTGCACACATTACCACAGCTGGCAAAATTCATTCTCTCACAATTAATTAATAATAATAATAATAATAATAATAATAATAATAATAATAATAATAATAATAATAATAATATTTATTTAGGTAAAGGTACATACATAAAGAGATTTTACAAAGTTTGTTGGCTTTATAGATAGAGCTAGTACATACAATGCCTAAAGCCACTATTACGCAAAGCGTTTCGGGTTGCAAAGCGTTACAAAGCGCATTGTAATTAACAATGAAAGTCCTATTTGGTTAATCGAGTGTAAGAGAGGTTGTTGGATCTTTGCGCCAGTCGCACAAAACACCGAATTAACGTTCGTTGAATTATGCTACTGTGTCTGTGGGGGGAGGGGGGGGGGAGGAAGTGCATGGGTAACAGCTTCTCCATATAGATCTACCCTGGCTTTTCGCCCTGGAGAGGACACTCCAGCCTCGGCATCCAGAGCGCAACTCAATAGTCTCCCGAGACTTCAAAATGCCTACTAGGCATTTGCTATTAATGCCTGCTATTACTAATTATTAGCAGAATATCTTGCATCATTTCACTGGCTGAGACTGCGAACACTTCCAGGGCGTATTCCAACGCTGAACAAGATGACTTGTGGCGGTACCTGACGGAGGCTGCTCATGAAGACGGCACACTGCCCCCAGACACAACAGTCAAGATGATCATGGACACGTGGACGCTGCAGATGGGTTACCCCGTCATCAATGTACAGAGGAGTGCAGACGGCACCGTAGCAACCATCACACAGGTTGGTAGTTATCTTATCTTGAGATGATTTCGGGGCTTTAGTGTCCCCGCGGCCCGGTCCTCGACCAGGCCTCCACCCCCAGGAAGCAGCCCGTGACAGCTGACTAACACCCAGGTACCTATTTACTGCTAGGTAACAGGGGCATTCAGGGTGAAAGAAACTTTGCCCATTTGTGTCTGCCTCGTGCGGGAATCGAACCCGCGCCACAGAATTACGAGTCCTGCGTGCTATCCACCAGGCTACGAGGCCCCAGTTCCTCAGCGTTTTACTCTTGAAAAACAAAATAGCAGGACAGGATAGAATGACTAGCTATTGACCACTGTAGTGAAGGAGACGACTATATTATTGACCATGATATTGTTGAAGACTGACATTTTATTGACCATGATTCTGGAGGAGAATGACAAGTTATTGACCATTGTATTGTAGGATCATGGCAAGTTGTTGACCATAGTACTGATGGAGTCTCATATTTTATTGACCATGATATTGATGGAGACTGACAAGTTATTGACAATGGTACTAAAAATGATTTACATGTTATTGACCTAGGTACTGAATAAGACTGACAAGTTATTGACCAAGGTACTGAAGCAGACTAAGAAGATATTGACAATAGTTCTAAAGAAGATTAACATGTTATTGACAGTGATAACGAAGGAGATTGACTGGTTATTGACCATGATATTGATGAAGACTAACATGATATTGACCATGGTACTGAAACAAACATGTTATTGACCATGGAATTGTAGGAAACTGAAATGTTATTGATAATGGTACTGAAGGAGACAAATATATTATTGACCATGATATTGAAGGACGCCGACATATTATTAACCATGGTACTGAAAGACACAAGCAGGTTATTGACCATGATACTGAAGGAGACTAACATGTTATTGACTGAGACATTGATAGATTGACAAGGTATTGACCATTGTACTGAAGAGACGAACACATTATTGACCATGGTCCTGAAGGAGACGAACACATTATTGACCATGGTCCTGAAGGAGACGAACACATTATTGACCATGGTCCTGAAGGAGACGAACACATTATTGACCATGGTCCTGAAGGAGACGAACACATTATTGACCATGGTCCTGAAGGAGACGAACACATTATTGACCATGGTCCTGAAGGAGACGAACACATTATTGACCATGGTACTGAAGAGACGAACACATTATTGACCATGGTACTGAAGAGACGAACACATTATTGACCATGGTCCTGAAGGAGACGAACACATTATTGACCATGGTACTGAAGAGACGAACACATTATTGACCATGGTCCTGAAGGAGACGAACACATTATTGACCATGGTCCTGTAGAGACGAACACATTATTGACCATGGTCCTGAAGGAGAATGACATGTTATTGACCATGGTCCTGAAGAGACAAACACATTATTGACCATTGTCCTGTAGAGACGAACACATTATTGACCATGGTCCTGTAGAGACGAACACATTATTGACCATGGTACTGAAGGAGAATGACATGTTATTGACCATGGTCCTGAAGGAGAATGGCATGTTATTGACCATGGTCCTGAAGAGACAAACACATTATTGACCATTGTCCTGAAGGAGAATGACATGTTATTGACCATGGTCCTGAAGGAGAATGGCATGTTATTGACCATGGTCCTGAAGAGACAAACACATTATTGACCATTGTCCTGAAGGAGAATGACATGTTATTGACCATGGTCCTGAAGGAGAATGATATGTTATTGACCATGGTCCTGAAGGAGAATGACATGTTATTGACCATGGTCCTGAAGGAGAATGGCATGTTATTGACCATGGTCTTGAAGGAGAATGACATGTTATTGACCATGGTCCTGAAGGAGAATGGCATGTCATTGACCATGGTCCTGAAGGAGAATGGCATGTTATTGACCATGGTCCTGAAGGAGAATGGCATGTTATTGACCATGGTCCTGAAGGAGAATGACATGTTATTGACCATGGTCCTGAAGGAGAATGACATGTTATTGACCATGGTCCTGAAGGAGAATGGCATGTTATTGACCATGGTCCTGAAGGAGAATGACATGTTATTGACCATGGTCCTGAAGGAGAATGGCATGTTATTGACCATGGTCCTGAAGGAGAATGACATGTTATTGACCATGGTCCTGAAGGAGAATGACATGTTATTGACCATGGTCCTGAAGGAGAATGACATGTTATTGACCATGGTCCTGAAGGAGAATGACATGTTATTGACCATGGTCCTGAAGATTGACCATGGTCCTGAAGGAGAATGACATGTTATTGACCATGGTCCTGAAGGAGAATGACATGTTATTGACCATGGTCCTGAAAGAGAATGGCAAGTTATTGACCATGGTCCTGAAGGAGATTGGCAAGTTATTGACCATGATATTGATGTGGCTCATGATTCCAAAGGAGACTGTAAAATTATTACCAACGTTTCTGAAAGGGAGTGAAATATTTGTCCGCATGGCACAGGAAGAGACATACAGTACTGGATTATAAATTGTCTGACAAACGAGAAGTATCAGAGGTGGAGAATGTCACTTGGTGAGGCATCTCAAGGCTCCGCTCCATTTTTTATTAACAAGAGACAAATATATTATTGTCTAATATCTTGATATTAGGGTAAACAGTAATGTCAATTTTGCAGATATCGAAATAATTGTAAATACATTAAACTCAAAACCAGATTATGCCTTACAATAGAAAATTGTATATTATGCAATTTTGAGCAAACTTTGATAAATACAGTTCAACGTAGATGAAAGTATTCCTGAGGAAGGGTAAATCTAGTTCAATTATATAGGATTAATGATGTAGTTACTGGTAACTTAAATACTGATAAATACTTATGGGTAATGGTTCAACCTCTCCTCTTTATAGCATGTTTTATTATGAAGTATACTTTACATAAGGTTAAAGCTGATGTACATGAAAATGGAAGCCACTGGCAAAATCAACATATTGGATTATATCTTGCACTAGTAAGACATCACTTGGATTATATCTTGCAATGGTAAGACATCACTTGGATTATATCTTGCAATGGTAAGACATCACTTGGATTATATCTTGCAATGGTAAGACATCACTTGGATTATATCTTGCACTAGTAAGACATCACTTGGATAATATCTTGCAATGGTAAGACATCACTTGGATTATATCTTGCAATAGTAAGACATCACTTGGATTATATCTTGCACTAGTAAGACATCACTTGGATTATATCTTGCAATGGTAAGACATCACTTGGATTATATCTTGCACTAGTAAGACATCACTTGGATTATATCTTGCACTAGTAAGACATCACTTGGATTATATCTTGCACTAGTAAGACATCACTTGGATTATATCTTGCACTAGTAAGACATCACTTGGATAATATCTTGCACTAGTAAGACATCACTTGGATTATATCTTGCACTAGTAAGACATCACTTGGATTATATCTTGCACTAGTAAGACATCACTTGGATTATATCTTGCAATGGTAAGACATCACTTGGATTATATCTTGCAATGGTAAGACATCACTTGGATAATATCTTGCAATGGTAAGACATCACTTGGATAATATCTTGCACTTATAAGACATCACTTGGATTATATCTTGCAATGGTAAGACATCACTTGGATCACTAGTAAGACATCACTTGGATAATATCTTGCACTAGTAAGACATCACTTGGATTATATCTTGCACTAGTAAGACATCACTTGGATTATATCTTGCACTAGTAAGACATCACTTGGATTATATCTTGCAATGGTAAGACATCACTTGGATTATATCTTGCAATGGTAAGACATCACTTGGATTATATCTTGCACTAGTAAGACATCACTTGGATAATATCTTGCACTAGTAAGACATCACTTGGATTATATCTTGCACTAGTAAGACATCACTTGGATTATATCTTGCACTAGTAAGACATCACTTGGATTATATCTTGCACTAGTAAGACATCACTTGGATAATATCTTGCAATGGTAAGACATCACTTGGATAATATCTTGCACTTATAAAATGTCACTTGGATCATAAACATAATGTTCAACGGACCATAAACATAATGTTCAACGGACCATAAACATAATGTTCAACGGACCATAAACATGGGGGGTTTTCTTGCAGCAGGAATTTATTTGCTTTTAATTTATTTAATTTAAATATTAAATTATTGATTTATTGAACTTATTTTAATTATTATTAATTCAAAGTTGACTGTATATTTAAAAGTTATCCTGCTAGGTGTTTACCTGTACACAAGTTTTGGGGGTAATGTACGTAGCATATTAATCAAATAATTGATAATTATAAAAAACTACTAAATTAATGTTCTATTACTAAAACGGGTTAGTATTACAGCTAAAATGGATTCGTAAAATGGTAATCATTGGCCTAAACTGTTAAGTTGTTATAGTTTAGTCATCTAGCATCAGACTTTCTCCACCTCATGTAGTTCGTCCTGGACCTTTGTTAATGGTAGCTATTGGTACTTGTTAGAGCATGAGTTTGTAAAGTCTCTTGTAGGTGTTAACACCTCGCTGTGATTTCTCGAGTTCTTCACGGGTTACCTGCTGCAATTAGAATATTGTTGTACACCATAACAATTGTACAACAATCGACTTGAGAATGGTCCAGGACGGGCCGAAACGTCGTCGTCCCTTCTACTTCTAGTGTGTGGTCTGGTCAACATACTTCAGCCACGTTATTGTGACTCATCGCCTGCAATTGTACAACAATATTCTAATCAATACAATGTGACTATATTAATGAGGATTGTGTAATTGGTAAAACCAGTCATACCCTTGGTTGGGTGTCATCATAAAACTAAAAGACATGAGGTTCAGCCGGATATTTAGCACTTCCCGTTGATATGTATGAGGTCGCTGTGGCAAAATCACTGTTGGGTGATTTATATTTGTAATCTTTGCAGTGTTGCGTATCGCTAGACACACGGGCAGCTTCTCGGTTTGCATTCTATGTCCGAGCCTGCTCCCTCCACCCGACTCCTGGTTCAACCTTGACGCTGAGCGGACGTCTGGATACCTCCTCCGCCTGGGAGCCGCCGGATCGTGTCTTGTTTTCGCGTTTTGGCTTTGCTACTGCCGTTTGGCATCCCTCTTCAACGGTCCGATTGTACGACGCCTGGCGCACACATCGCCTTGGGTCACGGGATTGTTGATAGATTTTTTTGGCGTGTTCTGGCTGGTTCTCCCACCGGGGTGACGGTGTTCGGGGGCCGGCTTGGCCGAGAGGTGCCGGGGGTTGGTGGGGCTTGGTGGGCTCCTGGTGTGCCCTCATCCGTGGTGGGCGGTTGGCTTCTGCTCTGCCCGAGGACGCTGGATGACTTTTTGCGTTTTAGTTGGGGGCAGAATTTTGGTTTTGCTACCTGGTGTTCTCTGTGTGGGGGCGGGGCCGGTGCTTGTCACCCTGAGGGACTCCTGGGTCTCACCAATCATCTGCCTGACTGTGCGTTTATTTGCCGTATGGCATATTAGTTTCTAGTGATTGGCGTCACTCGATTCGCGTTTTGGCTTGGCGTTTCACCTTTCCGGGCTTCGCAATTCACTCTTAACAGGTACGCCGAGGTGCATCCGATCCCACGATCGTCGTCGCCCCTAAATCAACAACAACAACTCCCTCCACCCTCGGGTCTAATAAAAATACGGTTCTGTTTTGTGTTTTTATTGACAATGGGAGGGAGTCCTTAATTTCAGGGTAGATTTGTTTACGTTAAATATAGAGAACACTTTTCGATCAAGTTCAATCACTAGACTGTTGTTTTAAGAATACTTGTTGAATTTAAATAATTGTTTAGATGATGTCATGGATCTTCCATTCTCTATAATCCTTTTATGACTGACTAATGTAAATTAACAGCATCTTATGGTGGTTAGTATGTTACTGTCAGATTTCCGACATATATTAACTGAAATTGACACAATGACCAAAGAAAAATGGGCTGTGAAAGTTCATCATCTGTAAATTAGAGGAGCGTCTTTCATTACTGCCTTGAGCAACACCAGCTTCATGCTTTATTATTTTATTTGTGTAAATTAGAGGAGCGTCTTTCATTACTGCCTTGAACAACACCAGCTTCATGCTGTGTTATTTTATTTGTATTAACTTTTTTATACTTATCAGAGTAGCATGTTATTAATAAATTAAAATTGTTTTTAAAAAAATAAGCTTTTATTTGTGATTAATTTTAAAGTTTTTTACTTGTTAGATATTTATTTAGGTAAAGGATCATACATTGAAAAGGAGTTACAAACATAATTGCCCGAAACGCATTGCGTAATAGTGGCTTTAGGCATTGTATGTACTAGCTCTATCTATATATCAATCCATTAATGTAACATCACTTGTATGTATATACCTTACCTGAATAAACATCTGAATCTGAATCTGAATCTGAATCTAATGTCGGATTAATAGATAGAGCTAGTACATACAATGCCTGAAGCCACTAATACACACAGCATTTCGGGCAAGTGATAAATGAATTGACTTATGATTGGACCATTGATAAATTGTCAAAACTCAGCATTCTGTATGAATTTCGAGCTGATGAAGAAGCCGGTGGCAGCTTTGGGGAAAGACTGCTTGTCTGAAAATTATAGGCTTAATTGATGTTCTATAGACTCCCCCACCAATACTTCCCATCATATATCAAGCAACATCCATCCATCAATTCGTTGGTCTCAAAATTTAATAGTTTGTATTGCAACCAGGTTGTCGATTGCGTACTAGTATTCAGTGCTTTTGATGTATTGAGAGTGGGTGAAAAAGCCTGTGGCTTGTTCAAGGTATAACACTCAGTGAATAAATATTAGATATTTTAAAAATTGCAAAGAAAGGTATATGAGTGCCAAAGGTCAGACATAAGAACCTGCCATGAATAAACCAGTAGGCCTTCAAAAACCTTTTCATACTTTTATATGAAAAGGTTACGCATAGTTTTTTGTCCCTACCCAATAATTTAAAGAACTTTAATATCATTGCAGGAACGATTTTTGCTGGTGAAGAGCGCAAACTCGTCGGACACTCACGACTACAAGTGGTGGGTTCCCCTAACATTCACTACTCAGGATGACCCAAATTTTAACAACTCACAAGCCATGGTGTGGTGGATGAAGGATTCTGAGCCAGAGATAACAATCTCTTCACTGCCCGGGAAGGACCAGTGGGTTATCTTCAACTTACAGGAGACAGGTTATTACAGAGTGAACTATGACGAGGACAACTGGAACTTGCTCATCCAGCAGCTCAACACCGACCACCAGGTCATCCATGTGATAAACCGCGCTCAGATCATCGACGACGCCATGGACCTCGCCCATGCTGGTACGTTCTTGTTACGCCAACACGTAGACCCGAGGAACACATAGACCTATTGACCACTGGCCAAGGAATACATAGACATATTAATCACTGCACGGGGAAACTATAGACCTATTGACTGCTACACGCTGAACACAGACCTATTGACCACTGCATAGACCTATTAAATGTTTGCTGCACGGGGAATACATAGACCTATTAACCGCTTGTCATAATTATGAGTCGACGGTAGCCCCTAGGCGGCCTCTAGCTGAAAGTTGTTCCTAGGCGTTCCCTCCATATCTGAGGGAATATACCTATTCGGGGATAGGATAAATATGTAGACAGATGTGATAAAGTATATGAATAAATATAAGAGATTGAGAGTCAATAGGAAATATTGTGAGGAGGAAGAATCGAGAGGCGATGTGCTTCCTTCTGGATGGAAGTGGGGATTTACATCACGGTTATAACACGGTTACATCACGCCCGTCGATGGGGGACTCGTCACTTCAACTAAAAGATACGAGAGCGGACGGATGCCTGTTTCATTACCTATTTTCCCTGGGCTTGTTTCATCACTCATAAACCCATGAGACGGCACGTACCAAAATAAGTTAAGACTGGCACTTCCAGGAAGACTGTGCATCAGCAACTGTTCTTGTTCTATTGCCGGATTCGCTAGGATGGGGAAGATGTGCTGAGGGCGAGGAGCCGGTCGGCCGAGCGGACAGCATGCTGGACTTATGATCCTGTGGTCCTGAGTTCGATCCCAGGCGCCGGCGAGAAACAATGGGCAGAGTTTCTTTCACCCTATGCCCGTGTCACCTAGCAGTAAAATAGGTGCCTGGGTGTTAGTCAGATGTCATGGGCTGCTTCCTGGGGGTGGAGGCCTGGTCGAGGACCGGGCCTAAGACACTAAAGACCCCGAAATCATCTCAAGATAACCTCAAGAGGGCGTGTCACGTCGCGGTGACCGGGAGCTTGATCCACTGAAGCGGTCATTAGTCGCCAAAGAGATGGCGTTCCTCTTTTTTTGCACCTGAAAAGAAGAGGTGGGGACTGGTTATACAAGGAGTTGTCACTGTGGCCAGGAGTCCATAGCGAGGAACACATGGAGGGTAACGAAGATAGCAATGAGACTGAGAGATGTTAACCAGGAGCCTGAGAGAAGATAACCAGAAGAATGAGAGAAGATAGCCAGGAGACTGAGAGATGTTAACCAGGAGCCTGAGAGAAGAGGCACGGCCATCAAGTGTGAGAGACCCCACCGACAAGTAGACAGGAGCTGGAGCTACGTACTCTGACGGTACGCCGACAGATACCAGAGGTGAGGACCTGTAGTGAATTTTGGATGAACTTTAATAGACAATGAGGTAATACGGAAATTTCTAGAGGACAGATGCCAAGTGAGAGGCCGTGAGGAGTGTTATTGAAAAAACGGGCAAATTGTATGCCCAGGGTCGTTATGACGAACCAACCAACGAAGTTTGAAGTTTTATAACTTCAACCTTGACGTTTTATACAAGGGAGGCCAAGAGGGCGCCTGTTTCACCTATCCCAAGGTGAATAGTGAGGGTTGTCGAAGTCCTGAGTGAGTGAAGGACTGAAAAGTTTGTTTTCTAGAACACAAACGCCTACAAGTGAGGTGGGGCCAAGAGCTGTGTACCAGTGCGTGTCATTGTGAAGCCACGTCCCGGGAAGCGAACGCGCACGCACGCACGCACGCACACACTCTCACACACACACACACACACACACACACACACACACACACACACACACACACACACACACACACACACACGAGGGGTTAAGAAAATTCTTAACAGATATAGCATGGGAAACAGAGCTCAGGGGAAAGACGGCCCAAGATATGATGGATTACATCATGCAGAAGTGCAAGGACGCAGCAAACAAGTTTGTCCCAGTCCAAAAGGAAAACAGAGAAATGAAAATGAGAAACCCATGGTTTAATCAGAGATGTAGGCTAGCTAAGCAGCAAAGTAAAAGGGCATGGAGAAACTATAGGAATAACAGGACACTGGAGAGCAGAGAAAGATACCAGAATGCCAGGAATGAATATGTCAGGATGAGAAGAGAGGCAGAAAGACAATACGAAAATGACATCGCAAGCAAGGCAAAGACTCAGCCTAAATTGTTGCATAGCCACATTAGGAGAAAAACAACAGTATACAACAATATACTTGTAACATATTACATTTTTGTACAGCCACTAGTACGCGTAGCGTTTCGGGCAGGTCCCTGGAATACGATCCCCTGCCGCGAAGAATCGTTTTTTCATCCAAGTACACATTTTACTGATGCGTTAAACAGAGGCTACAGTTAAGGAATTGCGCCCAGTAAATCCTCCCCGGCCAGGATACGAACCCATGACATAGCGCTCGCGGAACGCCAGGCAAGTGTCTTACCACTACACCACGGAGACTGTCACAAGGAAGGAAGAAATGACAAGGAAGTGTGTGAGGAATTGAATAAGAAATTCCAGGAGGTCTTCACCTTAGAGCAAGGAGAAATTCCAGAGGTAAGTGAGGGAATAGCTAACCAGGAACCACTGGAAGACTTTGAGATTACCAGCGGGGAAGTAAGGAAGTGTTTACTAGAGTTGGATGTGACAAAAGCTATAGGCCCAGATGGAATCTCCCCTTTGATACTAAAGGAAGGAGCAAGAGAACTGTGCCTCCCACTCTCCATAGTGTATAACAAATCACTGGCAAGAGGGGAACTGCCAGATATTTGGAAAGCAGCTAACGTAGTCCCGATATACAAGAAAGGGGATAGACAGGAGGCACTGAATTACAGGCCAGTGTCCCTACCATGCAAGCTGATGGAGAAGATTGTTAATTTATTCCCCTCTCACCGACATCCTCCTCCCTCTTCCTCCTTCCCCCTCCCACCTCTTCCTCCTTCCTCCTAGACCTCATCCTCCTTCCTCCTCTGCCTCCTCCTCCTCTTCCTTCCTCCTCCTCCTCTTCCTCCCTCCTCCTCCATCTCCTCTGCCTTCCTCCTCCTCCTCCTCTATCTCATCCTCCTTCCTCCTCGCCCTCATTCTCCTTCCTCCTCGCCCTCATCCTCCTTCCTCCTCGCCCTCATGCTCCTTCCTCCTCGCCCTCATCCTCCTTCCTCCTTGCCCTCATCCTCCTTCCTCCTCGCCCTCATCCTCTTTTCTCCTCGCCCTCATCCTCCTTCCTCTTCGCCCTCATCCTCCTTCCTCCTCGCCCTCATCCTCCTTCCTCCTCACCCTCTTCCTCCTCGCCCTCTTCCTCCTCGCCCTCTTCCTCCTCCTCCTTCCTCCTTACCCTCTTCCTCCTCCTCCTTCCTCCTCCTCCTTCCTCCTCGCCCTCCTCCTCCTTAAGTGCAGTATGGATGCACTTCCATATATAAGACAAAAAGTTTTAAGAATGTTTCACACACATCAATCAAGCAACATTTACAGTTTATATAAATTATTCTAGGGAAGGATACATAAATTTTATATTTAAATATATTAGTGTTTAGTGGAATACATAAGGAGTCAAATTGTTTTAAAAGGGTGATGTTTAGCAAAATTATGAAAACTAATTTTATCTGATCATAGAATAACTAAATGTATTTTGAATGTTTCATACAGCTATTAAATATCATTCACAATTTATTAATGAATTTGACAAAAAAGACCATAATTTTATATTTAAACGTGTAAAAATTATTTGTGAAACATTAGGAATAAAATAGCTTTAGAAAACCGCATAATATAAAACCTATATGCTTGGATTTTTGGAGTAAAAGTTTCTCAAATGCTCTCCTGCACCATTCTCAATTCAAGTTATTTGTACACCTATGGGAACACATATATGAAAGTTTCCAAAACGTTTTGTGTTTGCTGGGTGTGTGTGTGTGTGTATATATATATATATATATATATATATATATATATATATATATATATATATATATATATATATATATATATATATATATATATATGCAAACAAGCCTGAATGGTCCCCAGGACAATATGCAACTTGGGGTGTGAGTTTTCAGTTATATATATATATATATATATATATATATATATATATATATATATATATATATATATATACACAATATATATATATGTATATATATATTATTAAATATGACCGAAAAAGTAAGATTAATAATTCTAACACAAATTTTCTCAATCTTTCGTACATTACGCTTCACTGTTGGAGGTAAATCAAAAATCAATTCTCCAAAATTCATTTTTATTTCTAGTCAGACGTGACACGGGCGCGTTTCGTAAAACTTAATACATTTTCAAAGACTTTTAGTTCACAAATACACAACTGATTAGAACTTACGTATCTCCGATTTTATATCTACATTTGAGTGAGGTGGGAGGGGTGATGTGGCATTAACACAAGACAGAACAAGAGGGGATATTAATAGGGTATTAAAAGTATCAACACAAGACAGAACACAAACAATGGGTATTGAATAGAAGTGTTTGTAGAAAGCCTATTGGTCCATATTTCTTGATGCTTCTATATTGGAGCGGAGTCTTGAGGTGGGTAGAATATAGTTGTGCAATAATTGGCTGTTGATTGCTGGTGTTGACTTCTTGATGTGTAGTGCCTCGCAAACGTCAAGCCGCCTGCTATCGCTGTATCTATCGATGATTTCTGTGTTGTTTACTAGGATTTCTCTGGCGATGGTTTGGTTGTGGGAAGAGATTATATGTTCCTTAATGGAGCCCTGTTGCTTATGCATCGTTAAACGCCTAGAAAGAGATGTTGTTGTCTTGCCTATATACTGGGTTTTTTGGAGCTTACAGTCCGCAAGTGGGCATTTGAAGGCATAGACGACGTTAGTCTCTTTTAAAGCGTTCTGTTTTGTGTCTGGAGAGTTTCTCATGAGTAGGCTGGCCGTTTTTCTGGTTTTATAGTAAATCGTCAGTTGTATCCTCTGATTTTTGTCTGTAGGGATAACGTTTCTATTAACAATATCTTTCACGACCCTTTCCTCCGTTTTATGAGCTGTGGAAAAGAAGTTCCTGTAAAATAGCTTGCAAACTATTGTTTGCAAACTATTGTTTGCAAACAATGTTTGCAAAACATTGTTTAAAAATGTTTGCAAACTTCTACATGGGTACCATCGAGCAAAAAGTCTTAGTCGACATGAACTTGAAACCGGCCATATACTGCAGGTATGTTGACGACATTTTTACACAGGTACCTGATGTCAGACATCTGCAGGAGCTGAAGGAGGCATTTGAGCAGAGTTCCGTGCTGCGTTTCACTTACGAGATGGAAAAGGATGGGAAGCTGCCCTTTCTAGATGTAACAGTCATGGAAAAGGGCGGAGGTTTCCACACTGCAGTCTACACTAAGGAAACAAACATAGGAATGTACCTAAATGCCAACAGCGACTGCCCTGACAGGTACAAGAGGAGTGTTGTTAACGCATATGTCGACCATGCTCTCAGCCACAGCTCAGAATGGAAGCAAGTCGACGAAGAACTCTGTAGGGTAAGGCAGGTCCTAGTCAATAACGGCTTCTCCAATGGTTTCATCGAAGACATCATAAGAAGGAAAGTGAAAAGCCATGCAACCTCTGAAGAGACAACTAACACAACACCTATACCCCCTATTAGACTATTTTACAGGAACTTCTTTTCCACAGCTCATAAAACGGAGGAAAGGGTCCTGAAAGATATTGTTAATAGAAACGTTATCCCTACAGACAAAAATCAGAGGATACAACTGACGATTTACTATAAAACCAGAAAAACGGCCAGCCTACTCATGAGAAACTCTCCAGACACAAAACAGAACGCTTTAAAAGAGACCAACGTCGTCTATGCCTTCAAATGCCCACTTGGGGACTGTAAGCTCCAAAAAACCCAGTATATAGGCAAGACAACAACATCTCTTTCTAGGCGTTTAACGATGCATAAGCAACAGGGCTCCATTAAGGAACATATAATCTCTTCCCACAACCAAACCATCGCCAGAGAAATCCTAGTAAACAACACAGAAATCATCGATAGATACAGCGATAGCAGGCGGCTTGACGTTTGCGAGGCACTACACATCAAGAAGTCAACACCAGCAATCAACAGCCAATTATTGCACAACTATATTCTACCCACCTCAAGACTCCGCTCCAATATAGAAGCATCAAGAATTATGGACCAATAGGCTTTCTACAAACACTTCTATTCAATACCCATTGTTTCTGTTCTGTCTTGTGTTGATACTTTTAATACCCTATTAATATCCCCTCATGTTCTGTCTTGTGTTAATGCCACATCACTATATGCCACATCATCCCTCCCACCTCACTCAAATGTAGATATAATAGCAGAGATACGTAAGTTCTAATCAGTTGTGTATTTGTGAAGTCTTTGAAAATGTAATAAGTTTTACGAAACGCGCCCGTGTCGCGTCAGACTAGAAATAAAAATGAATTTTGGAGAAGTGATTTTTGATTTACCTCCAACAGTGAAGCGTAATGTACGAAAGATTGAGAAAATTCGTGTTAGAATTATTAATCTTACTTTTTCGGTCATATTTAATAATATATATATATATATATATATATATATATATATATATATATATATATATATATATATATATATATATATATATATATATATATATTAGTATATTTTGGTAGCAGTCTTTCCTGTAGACATATATTATTAAATATGACCGAAAAAGTAAGATTAATAATTCTAACACGAATTTTCTCTATCTTTCGTACATTTCTTTTCACTGTTGGTGGTAATTCAAAAATCAATTCTCCAAAATTCATTTTTATTTCTAGTCTGACGCGACACTTGAGTGCGTTTCGTAAAACTTATTACATTTTCAAAGACTTTAGTTTACACATACACAACTGAATAGAACTTACACATCTCCGATTTGTTTATATCTACATTTGAGTGAGGTGGATGGGGTGAGGTGGCATTAATAGGGTATTAACTTCATCAACGCAAGACAGAACACGAAACAATGGGTATTGAATGGAAGTGATTGTAGAAAGCCTATTGGTCCATATTTCTTGATGCTTCTATATTGGAGCGGAGTCTTGAGGTGGGTAGAATATAGTTGTGCATTAATTGGCTGTGGATTGCTGGTGTTGACTTTTTAATGTGTAGTGCCTCGCAAATGTCAAGCCGCCTGCTATCGCTGTATCTATCGATGATTTCTGTGTTGTTTACTAGGATTTCTCTGGCGATGGTTTGGTTGTGGGAAGAGATTATATGTTCCTTAATGGAGCCCTGTTGCTTATGCATCATTAAACGCCTAGAAAGAGATGTTGTTGTCTTGCCTATATACTGGGTTTTTTGGAGCTTACAGTCCCCAAGAGGGCATTTGAAGGCATAGACGACGTTGGTCTCTTTTAAAGCGTTCTGCTTTGTGTCTGGAGAGTTTCTCATGAGTAGGCTGGCCGTTTTTCTGGTTTTATAGTAAATCGTCAGTTGTATCCTCTGATTTTTGTCTGTAGGGATAACGTTTCTATTAACAATATCTTTCAGAACCCTTTCCTCCGTTTTATGAGCTGTGGAAAAGAAGTTCCTGTAAAATAGTCTAATATGAGGTATAGGTGTTGTGTTAGTTGTCTCTTCAGAGGTTGCATGGCATTTCACTTTCCTTCTTATGATGTCTTCGACGAAACCATTGGAGAAGCCGTTGTTGACTAGGACCTGCCTTACCCTACAGAGTTCTTCGTCGACTTGCTTCCATTTTGAGCTGTGGCTGAGAGCACGGTCGACATATGCGTTACCAACACTCCTTTTGTACCTGTCTGGGCAGTCGCTGTTGGCATTTAGGCACATTCCTATGTTCGTTTCCTTAGTGTAGACTGCAGTGTGGAAACCTCCGCTCTTTTCCATGACTGTTACATCTAGAAAGGGCAGCTTCCCATCCTTTTCCATCTCGTAAGTGAAACGCAGCACGGAACTCTGCTCAAACACCTCCTTCAGCTCCTGCAGATGTCTGACATCAGGTACCTGTGTAAAAATGTCGTCAACATACCTGCAGTATATGGCTGGTTTCAAGTTCATGTCGACTAGGACTTTTTGCTCGATGGTACCCATGTACAAGTTTACATGAAATTTACTGTCTGCTACAACTAACGGAGACAGCAAGAAGCCAATTGATCGGCTCTTCTACGGATCCGACATCGATGATAACGAAGAGAAAAGGCCCAACTAAATTCTCTGTCATGCCTTCCATCTGGAAGTGGGGAGCAAACAGTTCATCGGCAACTCTGACACCAGACGACAGAAGGCCCACAAGTGCAACGAAGCCATCAACAGATCGAAGAACGACCCTAAATTCCCATATCCCATGGTCTTCCACGCTAACACATTGGTCCAACACTAAAAATCCTAAAGAAGGAATACTATGACCTAGACTTCTTCCGAAGATACCCAAACGGCCTGATGGCCTTCTCAGAATCGGACGAAGACAACGACTCTCTGGGTACGTCGTACGTTACCACAGATAATATCTAAAGAAGTTCGGCGCAGAGTCTCACACCAAGACTCTACACATCCGACTCAGCCAGCTACTACTCAACCTTCACGAAACACTGCTTTTGCTTTAGATCCAACTGACTCGTCCGACGAAGATATCTCAATTGGGTCAACACCACCTTAGCGAACGCTCAACTACAGCAGTGAAAACGTTTTAATTGACGCAACCTCGAACGACAGGTCCGCAAAGTTTACAAGAAGCAAGTCTGCCAAGAAACCCACGAAGACCGAGGAGGAATGAAAGAAGACGAAAGAAAAAAAAACGAGTCCTAGGGCCTGAAGACCGAAGAATGAAGGTAAACTGTCATACATCACCACCATGATGGTTAATGTCATGTTCCTGCCAGGTCAGCTGTCATACAACACCACCATAATAGTTACTGTCATGTTCCTGCCAGGTCAGCTGTCATACAACATCACCATAATAGTTACTGTCATGTTCCTGCCAGGTCAGCTGTCATACAACACCACCATAATAGTTACTGTCATGTTCCTGCCAGGTCAGCTGTCATACAACATCACCATAATAGTTACTGTCATGTTCCTGCCAGGTCAGCTGTCATACAACATCACCATAATAGTTACTGTCATGTTCCTGCCAGGTCAGCTGTCATACAACACCGCCCTGAGCGTGAATGGGTACTTGAAGGCTGAGACGGAGTATATTGCCTGGAACACAGCCATGAACAACTTGGCCTACCTGGAGGTGATGTTCACTCGCACAGGAGGGTATGGAGCTCTCAAGGTACGCCTTTACGGACATGGTATTTGCATTGTATGAAATTTACTTATATGCTGATTGTTTAGCATAATTCTTTTATCACATTATGACAAATTCAACCAAAATTAAATCAGTAAATAATAAACAAAAATAATGAACTTTTGATTCTAATATGAAGTTATTTGTAAACAGAACTTTTGAATTTGCCCCTGTTTAATTAATCAGTAAATGTTTCTTCCATCACCCACGGCAACAGAGGTACTTGCTGTCCCTGTTGACTCCGCTGTACGACGCTGTGGGCTTCGACGACAACAGGAGTGACCCTCAACTGGATCAGTACAAGCGGGTGCTGGCCTTGTCGGGCGCCTGTAGCCTCGAGTACCAAGACTGTGTCGACAACTCCGTCTCCCTCTTCCAGGAGTGGATGCTCAACCCAAGTAACAACAGGTAAACTTTCAAGCTTCATCCACTTAGTCATCCATTGTAGCACCTGTTCTTCTACAAGGACATCCACTTGAACAGTAGAGGTCAGTAAAGAGACAACTTTGCTTTTCGTAGGGGTGGAGTCCTTTTTCCGTTTTCCAATTTTAACCTATTGGTTAGCAAGCACAACCCTCTTCCCCTCTCTTCCTCTTCTTCTTCAACCCTCAAGGTAACCCATACATTTCCCCACGTCTTCTAGGACAGATAGGTTTGAACACCATTTTCCTCTATAAGGTAATAAATGAGATGAAACCAAAACACTTGTAGTGATGGTGTCTTTCTAGTACTGAAATGGTACAATGGTAGCAATCATTAAGGTGAGAGAAGTTTTTTAATAACACCTCTGAACTAATTTGCTTGTAAACGTTATTATCAGACGTATCTTGGTATTGCTTTCAAATGAATCGTCGGGCTCCATGACAAGTTCAAGTACAAGTAAGTTTATTGAGGTAATGAAATACATCTCTAAAGGATAGAGCAGCTTAGGCTATTTCTACCCTTGAACACCAAGACAGTTTTGTGGTCGCTTTTAATAAAATAAGTCAGGCTTGCTTTGTTTATATCAACATGGTGTCAGTACGCTTACCCTGCCAGTGGAGTACCGGCAGGTTTCCAGACTTCTACATCTTGACTTGGCTACCCTTTAAAATAAATAAAAATAAAATAAAATAATTTATTTAGGTAAGGTACATGCATACAATAAATTTTTACAAAGATTGGTTGACTTATAGGTAGAGCTAGTACATACAATGCCTAAAGCCACTATTACGCAAAGCGTTTCGGGCATGATAAACTTAAATGACAAGCTTAATACTAATTGAGCATAATGAGTAGAATGAAAACAAGAAATGAAAACATAGATGAAAAAGCAGCACAAATACAATTATGCCGACAAACAGCGCTCTTTAAAGAAAAACAGACATTGGTTGACAATAGAAGGGTAAGGTAGGTTACAGGGAATTTATTAGGTATAGCTTCGTTTTTAACTTAAACTGGTTGAGAGAGGTACAGTCTTTAACATGGTTGGGAAGGTCGTTTTAGTCGTTCTGGAAGCATACCTCGTGTTACGGTCACAGACACACTGTTCAATGTGACCATGTCATAAGTGGCGAAGAATCATGCATTGAAAGAAGAGTTGTTTTACCAATTGTCTGTTGTAGAGACGATATTCCTTCACTAAGTGGCTCGGACACGACGTTGTCATAATAAAACTAAACAAACACGACAGGAATACCTTTTAAACATTTGTTGTTGTTTCAGTGTGTATATATATTTTTTTTTCTTTTTTTTTAGATATATACAAGAGTTGTTACATTCTTGTACAGCCACTAGTACGCGTAGCGTTTCGGGCAAGTCCTTAATCCTATGGTCCCTGGAATACGATCCCCTGCCGCGAAGAATCGTTTTTTCATCCAAGTACACATTTTACTGTTGCGTTAAACAGAGGCTACAGTTAAGGAATTGCGCCCAGTAAATCCTCCCCGGCCAGGATACGAACCCATGACATAGCGCTCGCGGAACGCCAGGCGAGTGTCTTACCACTACACCACGGAGACATTTGTGTCTATAATGATGCCAATCGTAGTCACGCAATACAAATGATTCAAGATAAGCTTCTGATGTTCGATCCAAATGTACTACTTGAATATTATTCGTTCCTCCATAAAGATTCGTTAGTATTGACATTCGTGCATGATTTTAAACGTGTAGTAATACAACGTTTATATTTTTAAACACCCTTAATTTTCCAGAATCTATTGTTATCGCCTGCGAAAACTGAGGATTAGAACATCAATGCAACAGTCTCGAAATACAAGTCATGGAAATAGGCGTAATAGAAAACAAGTTCTACCTGAAGAAAACGTCTGCTATAGGCTTTTACATGGTTAACCCGAGCATAATGAGAACGAGAAATTACCAATGAATTAAACTACAAGGGCCGTGATGAGGGGTACGAACTTACGTCCAGGATGATCCTAGACGCACTTTAATCGACTGAGCCACGAAATGGTCAAAATAATTGTAACTGGGATTGCCACTGCTCTCACGGATCCCACAGTCTCTCCGAGATACAAACCGGGGTTTTACACAATTTCCCCCCATGCACTCGGGCCCTGTTAATATTGTATTCTACCTCTACACCCTTACTTCAAAACACAAAGAAATCACAATAGTGTGGTATATCAAATGAATAAATCCACAACGGATGTGATGAGGGTTCGAACTTACGTCCAGGATGACCCAAGACGTGCCTTAATCGACTGAGCCACGACATGCTTAAACAAAATTGCAACCGGGATTACTACTGTTCTCCCAAGGATCCCGCAGTCTCTCCGAAACACAGTGTTTAGAGAAATGACCACATTGCAGTCTCTGTTGGGTTCTTCCTTCTCTGAACACATTACCCTTGTGAGATTTTCCATTTCAACATAAAATTCTGATAATTATTTGTTTAATGTACCTATAATTTCCGTAAAAAAACTAAAATTCCGTATATGTATATATGGAATTTTATATATGTATATGTATATATATAATATAGGGGTACCACCTCTGGTGCAATTGTTGGGACCCCATAACCTCGAAGAAGGGAGCTCAGAGCATTTAGAGAAAAATTTGCCAATTTTTTTTTTTACAAAAACTGAACATTAAGAGGAAAATATGCAGAAATGTTTCCTAGAGGCTACAGATTTCTTGGAATTCCTTAGACGCCGGGAAGGAACCGATAATGCAGCGGGCAATCCCCCCTCTGGATCCCCACATGGAGGCGCTGGAAGAGAAAACTTGCCACATTAGGGTCCTTTGTAGCGTCAATGAGGCTGGCAACAAGATCCTTAAGAAACCTCATTGCACTCTCTCCCCATGGACAAAGGGTCTCACATCCTATTGGAACGAAGCTATACCGGTGATCTAAATCCTTGTAGCTCACTGAAGTCTCGTCACCACATTCCTGGCTGGTCCCTGGCGTCACACACATCCTCTTCCTTACTTAGGTAACACAGACGGGGTACCGGTCCTCCCGACCACCGAGGGGGTCGCGCTCTGCGGGGCATCCAATGCTGGTGTCAATTTAGACACACCATATACCTTCGTCGTCTCAAGAGATGTACCTTTTCCAGGCAACCTTATGTCAATGCCCTGTGCACTGACTCACTGCCGTGGAAGAAGATATCACGATGGCCGACTTCACTAGTTGGGTCAGTTTCGATGCAGGGCGCCGTCACAGTCTGTTCACTATATTGAGAAGGTAATCAAAGATAATAAATTCTGCGGCACTTTCGCTCGACATCCCACATAACTGAGGAGCAGCAGCAGCACCAGACTGCAGAGTATTACTTGTTTTTATTCACTCCTCATTCAAGAGGTATTCTATATACACAAGTGATTGTTTACTGTTAGCTGTCTGTAATTTATAGCTTCAAGAATCATTGACAAAGCCTTTCTCTTTATTCTACCTGCTTCGTTTTAAGCCATGGCCACTTTACTTTCTAGATGAGAGGCTATCAACGTTGGGGCTCCCCCCACCCCCCTTCCAACAGGTGGAAATTTCAGGATTTTAGGATGGGAGGAATAAAGACAGAGTAAATGCACTTGTATTGATATAGAAAATATAAAGTCCCTAATATAATGTAAATATCATTACTTGAAAAACACGTGAGGTAATGTTTTAGAATTTGGGGTAATTTTTCTTGGCTAATTCCTGATAACCATGTTATTCAGTGCCATCTAAAAGCAAAACTGTACACAATATAACTCATTACATGATATTGTGATATGACTGTCTACATAGGGAGCCGGTCGGCCGAGCGGACAGCACGCTGGACTTGTGATCCTCTGGTCCTGGGTTCGATCCCAGGCGCCGGCGAGAAACAATGGGCAGAGTTTCTTTCACCCTATGCCCCTCTTACCTAGCAGTAAAATAGGTACCTGGGTGTTAGTCAGCTGTCACGGGCTGCTTCCTGGGGGTGGAGGCCTGGTCGAGGACCGGGCCTCGGGGACACTAAAAAGCCCCGAAATTATCTCAAGATAACCTCAAGATATATGTAATTAGCCTGTTAGTTGCTACACTAATCAGAGGGTGGGCCTGTCTAGCAGTTTTGGCCCAAAAACAGTTAGGTCACCCTGCTGGTGATGCGACACAAACACTCTCTGACGCAGTAGAAATGCTAATGTCATCATTAAATTTTCTGTCAGTCTCTGATTCATAAATATTGATAAGAGGGCTCACTGATCACTACAATGATCACTTCTTGGGCCACGATCTCCGGGCCGTGACCAATGAAGTGGTGATGGCTGCCTGTGCTCAGGTCACAATGGTGGGCGGGTGAGTGGTGAAAAGCTCACTATCCTGATGCTGAGCCTCCACCACACCTGCGTTCTCTAACGCCTTCCCTCGCACTGCTTGTCTCCAGTGTCCTGCTCTACCTTTAGCTCTAATCTCCACATATTCACTATTATGGCTCATTAACAATGAAATATCCTCATCTCGTATGCAACAGGGACAGGATTCGTGGGTTTTGTAATGAGAGCTTAACGCGCGACTTTCCTCCATCACGGCTTTTTGCCAACAAAGAAAAATGAGAAATTTTAAGAGTTGACCGTCAGAGCTGGGTATTTACAGTGTGTGATAACCGAGTTTGACCCGTGCATTGCTTACTTTGCCCTTATGTAAAGGCAGAAATAAACGTTAGTAACATTATGATCATATGGTAATCAGTCAGGATAATCAGTCTCCGTGGTGTAGTGGTAAGACACTCGCCTGGCGTTCCGCGAGCGCTATGTCATGGGTTCGTATCCTGGCCGGGGAGGATTTACTGGGCGCAATTCCTTAACTGTAGCCTCTGTTTAACGCAACAGTAAAATGTGTACTTGGATGAAAAAACGATTCTTCGCGGCAGGGGATCGTATTCCAGGGACCATAGGATTAAGGACTTGCCCGAAACGCTACGCGTACTAGTGGCTGTACAAGAATGTAACAACTCTTGTATATATCTCAAAAAAAAAAAAAAAAAAAAAAAAAATATGTGAGTTGTTGTATGTCAGTCTGAGGAGATAATTTCTGTATTAATTAATGTTTTATCCATATATAGTTACCGTAGCCACTGTGGCCAGTCCCTTTTTGGTGCTGTGTAATGTGTGACTTGGGTTACATCCTGGTTCATCTTTGTTCAAGTATACTCTTCACTCAAAGCAAAAATATGTAATTATGCTTTAAAATAATAAGGTAAAAAAAAATTTGCTTTCAGTTAAAAAATATAAAAGCTTCAACAAACAAGATTAGGATGTATATGTTTCACCAAGATTTTATGATCTATCAGGTTGTCTTGATGGCGACCTGTTGATACGCAAGTTTACATTTTGTACTATGTGAAGAGTTAGTGCTAGCTTATTCAGCAGTGATTTGTCACTGATTTTGGCAATGTCAAACTGGCTGTGAGAGAAATGATCACATGTTGCTATAGCTCAACTTAATCTAAGTCACCCGATTACTTACATCTATATTTTGGGTTATTTATATTGATGACAAAACATTGCATAAAATGGTAAGGTTAGAAGGTGTTTTGTGGTGAGATAATGAGAGAGGGTGTGGTATGTGCAGCACAATGTTTTGTGGTGAGATAATGAGAGAAGGTGTGGTATGTGCAGCACAATGTTTTGTGGTGAGATAATGAGAGAAGGTGTGGTATGTGCAGCACAATGTTTTGTGGTGAGATAATGAGAGAGGGTGTGGTGTGTGCAGCACAGTGTTTTGTGGTGAGATAATGAGAGAGGGTGTGGTATGTGCAGCACAATGTTTTGGGGTGAGATAATGAGAGAGGGTGTGGTATGTGCAGCACAGTGTTTTGGGGTGAGATAATGTGTTAGGATGTTTTAGTCTCAGGATAATGTTTTTCTGTAGTTCCTTTGTTTATTAATGTAATCTGGTCCTACTTAACAGCATAGTGTCGGCCAACCTGAAGGGCACAGTGTACTGCACCGCTATTGCTGCTGGTGGAGAGGAGGAGTGGAACTTTGCCTGGGGCCAGTACCTGGCCTCCAACCTGGGCTCTGACAAGGCCACGCTCCTCTCTGCCCTGGGATGTACCAAGCAGATCTGGATCCTCTCCAGGTAAGCTTAAGCACCCTAAATAATTAGTCAGAACTCCTGAAATTCAGTTAAATTAAACTAAAATTTGGGTTGGTAATATATCGCCATTTATTCTTCAGTTCCAAACAAAATAATGAATTTATTTTCTCGTAACTTCATCGATTTCATGGTGTTTCAGATAGATTATCATTAGTTATAAATCCAACACTTTAACCCCCTCCACAACCTCAACCAATCCCCCATAACCCCAAGCATTCCCCCAACCAATCCCCTATCACCCCAACCAATCCCCAATCACTTCCATCGCCGGCACCTTCCACAGGTACCTGGACATGGCCTTCACTGATGGAAGCGGCATCAGGAGGCAGGACGCCGCGGCTGCCTTCAGCTCCGTCTCCAGGAACGACATTGGGCGCGACCTGGCCTGGAACTACCTAAGGGACCAGTGGCAAAAGATATCTAATTAGTGAGCGTAAAATGTTTTGTCTTGAGACTTGCCGATCATTATCGGTCTTCTACTGTGAGTGTTAGTCTGTGAGCCATGCTACTGTGAGGGCTACAGTCTGTGAGCCATGCTACTGTGAGGGCTACAGTCTGTGAGCCATGCTACTGTGAGGGCTACAGTCTGTGAGCCATGCTACTGTGAGGGCTACAGTCTGTGAGCCATGCTACTGTGAGGGCTACAGTCTGTGAGCCATGCTAAATTTTCAATTATTTTTCCATCTGCTGTCAGTGTCCGAATGATCGATTCTCAGTATGCTCTTTCTTTGCTGTTCTCCAGTTCATCGAACTTCTATTCCCGTTTTACTAAGAGTGCAACTTCCCCTCTTTGCCTTTGCAGTCTTTATCACTTGGAATCCCCCCCATCCCTGGAAATATTGCATCAGAGATCAGTCGGGTGGGGGTGGGATTCCTGTCGGGGGGAGGGGGTTAGGAGTCGGGGGGGGGGGGGAGGCCTGGGCCTGGATGGGGGCAGGAAGAGGGTAGGGGTCAGGGACTGGGTGGGGGTCATGTAGTGTGTGTGTATTCACCTAGTTGTTCTTGCGGAGGTTGAGTTTCGGCTTTTTGGCCCCGCCACTCAAATGTCAATCAACTGGTGTACAGATTCCTGGTGTACATAGATACAGATATCAAATCATATCTACATGTGAAACTGTGAAAGGAGTCTGTCTCCACCACATCACTGCATAATGCATTCTCTGTGATAACTACCATAACAATGACAAAATTCTTACTAATATGTCTGTGGGTCATTTGGGTACTGAGTTTCCATCTGTGTCCCCTTGTTCGTGTTCCGCTCATGCTAAATAGTTTGTCTTTGTCCACCCTGTCAATTACCCTGAGAATTTTGTAGGTGGTTATCATGTCTCCCCTTACTCTTCTTTCTTTCAGGGACATGAGGTTTCGCTCCCCCTAGCCTTTCCTTGTAATTCATACCACTTAATTTTGGGACTAGTCTGGTGGCATACCTCTGAATCTTCTCTAACTTTGACTTATATTTAACTAGGTATGGACTCCAGGCTGGAGCTGCATACTCCAGGATTCGTCTGACATGAGTGGTATACAAGGTCGTGAATGACTCCATACACAAGTTTCACCAGGCAGTTCTTATGTTGACCAATCTAGCATATGCT